TGTAATTGTAATGAGCTTTGTGATACATTTGAATGTGACCAAAAAAAAAAAAAAAAAAAAAAAATTGTCCCAACTAAGTCTTCTAAATCCTATGGCAAGGCTGTGAAATAAATAGATAATAAATATTATTGGTTCTAAAAAGCTCCACACTACTTATTCAAGGTCATCCAAAGTAACCGGTAAGCATACATTCATGAGGGAAAAATAATAAGGGCTCCCAACCATAACTTTCTTCTCTCTCCAGCGGTGGCTACTTGTGATGCAAATGTCCTGGGGGCACAGAGGCCTACCATAAAGGCAAATCACATAGTGTACCCCTCTTCAGAGAGGTACCCCACTTCCAATATTCGAAATATTAGAAGGGGTACCCCACTTCTAATATTTTTATACAAGTAAAATCAGAGGGACAATTTCCTAGAATGAAGCAAATGTATGAAAAGCTTAAGATTCCTTTTCATGATTTTAACCAGGTGACTACTCACTCCTCTTTTATGAGAGCCCTCTGCCCAGAGCTTGGCACATAATAGGAGCTTTCAAATGCTGCTTTAATCCTCCCTGCTCCCCCAACCCAAGGGTATCCAGCTTCTGGCTGGCAAAAACTCAGAGTCCAGACCACTAAATAGTATAACTTTTGGGGGAAACCCAGAGGTTGAGTACAAAGAAATACATCCTGAAAGAATCAGAATCAACTGCCAAGTTCCTTGTATACTTAGTGACCTACAAGATACAAAACTAGAAAATAAATGGAATTACATTCTAAGGGTATGAAGTAAAAATTCTAAAAAGAAACTCAAGTCTTAAAAAACGAGTCAAAAGAAAATGTGGGTGATTATGTAAGAAGTAGAGACTAGAAACATTAATAATGAAGACATAAGTACTTCAGAGTTATAGTGCATCAAACTAATATTGTGTAAAGAGCAACCACATGACAAAAATACCTAAACAAAGCTTTAAACCTTCCTTGGCCTTGGAAAGTCATGAGACTTTTTTGGCTAAAACAAGGAATGTTTTAGTGAGAAGGGAAAAAGAACTTCCAGACCTGTAAGTGACTCCCATTTTTAAACTATAGTACTCTTCTACCTTAACCGAATGGTCAAATGATATCTAGTTTGTTCTTTATGTAAGTCATACCAACAGCTGGACAGTACTAAACATCTTTAGAATTAGAATTAGAATTCTCATTTTTCTACTAGTTTCCCCTACCTTCCTCGGAAATCCAGCACTGAGAAATTGATAGCTGCGGGCTAACGTGTTATCACATGACATGTGTAAAACAATGTGACATAGTAAGATTTTTTCTTTCAGTAATCCTGTGCTGATGAAAAAAGCATAATTACTTTAATGATGTACTTAGAAAAAGGATTATCTACAACAGAAAAGCACAAGGGTAACATTAATTAAAAGGTGTCTCAATTTATTCCTATGAATTTTCCACAGAGTCCCAAAAGCAAATAAGGAACACATGAGAATGCCAGTCTGGCTTTTCTGTTATGAAAAGCAGATTTAATGGTGAAAAAGAAGGCAATCAAGATACAAAAACAAAACTAATATTACTATCTTATTCATTATAACAATAACTATTTAATAAGCATCTACTACACACACACGCACACACACTAGGTACTAACACACACACACACACACACACACACACACTAGGTACTGGATATAAACTGGTAAATAAACTAGGCACTATTCCTGCCCTCAAGGGCAAGAGAGAAACACTGAACAATAATAATGATAAATTGTGGTAAATATTAAGAAGGAAAAAGATGATTGTGCTATGAGAGAGAAAATAAAAGGGTTCTAAGTTACATGGTGCTAAGGGTGGCATTCTCAGAAAAGACTTTATAAAGAGGATATCTGAACCATCACCGAGATGTCCTAAAATAGAGAGACCAACAGCATGCGCAACAGCCCTGAGGTGAGTTCACTGGAGCACTGCCAATGTGGCTGACAAGAAATGAAAATAGGGGGCAGGGGCCAAGTCATGCAGGACCTTGCAGGCTTGTTGAGGATTTTATATTTTATCCCAAGAATAAATGTGTTTTCTAAGAAATTTAAAGACTTTAAACTGCAAGTGACTTATTTCTATTTTTCAGGTTGCTGGTGGAAAAAGGGACTGGAAGGGGTGCATGGTGTGTAGGAGGCCTCTGCAATGGGGAAAGCGAGATGAACTACGATAGTAGCATAATAGAGAATAAAAACCAGACAGGTTTGATAAAGATTTTGCTAGAAAAATAGACAGGACTTTGTGACAAACTGGCTGGGTAGAGAAGACAGAAGAAAAAGAGTGAAGGATAACTCCAATCATCTGGCCTGAGCCATTCTTTGGATGGATAAGATGAAAAACAGGAGAAACAATTTGAAAGGATGGGTAATCAAAGAGCTCATTTCTGGAGAAGGCTTAGATGCTGCCATTATTAGCTAAGATGTGCCATTATTGGCTAAGTACACCTATATTAGGTATTCTACTTGTTTCAGCATCTCTTTTAGTAGCAGTACCCCCATTTTACAGAAAGCAAACTGGAGATTACAGAGGTTGAAGTAGCATGGCCAAACTCATTCAGCTCGGAGTGACAAATTCACATCTGCCACCCAAGTCTGGTAGGCTGGCTATAGGGTAAGCATTCTTCCCGTTATACAGAGTTATTGAAAACTATCTCTACACTTTGAATTTTGAAGACTACTTAGCGTTAGAGTAACCTAGCCTTCAAGGAGAGTAAACAGGTGATATATTATTTCTTAAATCAAACTCCTCAGATTTAATGCATAATGTTTCCCTATCCCACTCTCATTCCTACTCCACTTCTACCTGCAAGGAGTTTTGTAATGTTTAGAATACTAGCAAGATATAAAGGACCTAAAGTTTTACAAAAAATGAGTAAAGCCATTATGCCCAGAATCTACCATAATGAAAAGATCAACAATATCCAACAGCAAACAGTATTTTTACTCTCAAGTCATTCCATACATCAACGCAAGACAGATCAATTAATAAATAAGAACTCTGAAAAACTAATTTCTTAAAGTGAGCAAGGCATTCAAGTCAAAAACTAACCCAGTATAGAAGGCTACGAAAGCCAAGCATTGAGATTCACATTAAAAAATCGGAACCTTAAAAATATAAAATATTAGACAAAAGGAAATAACTGCATAAAATTTAAAATGAGCAATCCCCAAATATCTCAACCAAATGCCAAATTCGATGAACGTGTACCCTAAAAACTTACATTCTCTCTTCTTTTGAATTGCTTTCCCCTGCAGCATGTTGACACTTCGGCAAACTGTAATGCCTTTCCCATCTATCTGCACAGTCTCATGATTTGCTCACTCTCTGGGCTCTGATATTCCCCTCTCAGAGAAACCCAGAAATTAGACTTGACAATGAACCTAGAAAGAACTCAATGCATTACTGCCAGCTGTGTCTATTACTGAAAGTATCAGCCTGAGCTTCTTAAACAGAGAGAAAATGAGAAAAGCGGAGAATTTTGAAAGGTTTTATCATCTACATTACAAATTACATTTTGTTGGATCTGATTCTTCAATAGAATAATCACCAAATTATGTTCAGTCTTCCTAAAGTAGGGTATGGTTACCTAATTTTTATGGTTTTGAGAGAGCTCCCCATTGAGATAAAAAAAAAAAAAAAGTACCGTTAACATGCCCGCTAAAAGGTGAAATACACAAACCACTCTCCAAGATGATAGTGCTGTGTCCTGTGTCCTGATTCTCGTTTCCACTACGCACCTCTCCCTGCAGAGGGCCAGCTGTCATTCATTACTACCTCAACCAGGCAAAGGACAGGATGCTGAAAATCCATTAAGAAAGCTTCCCCTTTTCTTTCCTTTATAACATGATCGCCAACTCCTGGCAACTCAAAGCTGACTTTAAAAAAAAAGAAAAAAAGAAAAAAACTACCTGGGGATCTCCTACCAGAATGAGCAGTTAATCCAAATGACAGAAAAGCAGAGATCTATACATATTTAAAGGTGTTTTCCTGGGGACACAACAGATCTAATGGAGAACTGCTGAGCCACATTATACTGGAAAGCCCATCAATGTTCGTTCTCGCCATCACCAGGCTGGAGTAATTTTTTTTAATGCAATGCTTTGATGTATTGACAAGGCTAACCTGACGGGTTTAAATCAATTATGAAACGTGCCCTGCATATCTATTTCCCTGATAAATCCCTAAAGATCAAGGGCAATACTGACCCGCAATGATATCCACGCGTGCACTGCTCAAGATGCCATTTGATGCTGAGAAAGTAGTGGTTTAGCAACACCAGGCGGCTCTATCATGCTAAAATAACAACGCAACACTCGATTACAAACCCAGCTACTCGGCTTGTAAGATCCGATGCCGCACAAGGACCCTATTCAAAGCTCAACATCCCTTCTGATTGAATCTCAAGTTTTCTGAGATCTACCTTCCCAAAGTTTCTAGTCTGCAAAACAAAATTACTTTGAAAATCTCCTCTTGTGGACTCTTTTTCCTAGATGTGCTGGCAGCACGGGAGACGAGGGACGGGGAAGGGCTAATCGCACAAACAAAATTTAAAAACCTACAAACCAATCAATAAGGAAAAACAAGCGTTTCACCAAACCGCCACCCCGCAAGCGAGCAACCGTTTTCCATTTGGAGAAAAAATACTAAGAGAAACCAGGCATACATTTCCCTTCTCAACAAAAGTGGCCTCTAAACTACCATGCCAAGGACACTGGAAGGAAACGGAGAAGCAAGGAGGAACAAGCTTGTACTTTTCAGGCACACGCGTGTGTGCCGCAGAGAGAACGCGCAAAAAAAGAACACAACAGGGAAAAGGTGAACCGGAGGAAGCAGGAGCCCGCGGCGGGAGCGGGCTGGGGGCAGAATGGGCAAAGAAGCCCCCAGCGCAGAGAAAGGGGTAAGGGGATCCCGGAGGCTCCAGGAGCAGGAGGGAGGGGTCCCAGATGCTGCCCAGAAATCGCGGCCGCGGAGTAAAGTTAATACTCACTCAGTTTCGCAACTGCGCCGCCCCCGCAG